GTCTTACCTAACAACCTGTCGGTATTTTATACCATTTTAATGTTCATTCTCTGTACTGAACTGTTAAAACCTTTAGTTGGTAAAACGTTTCCACGATAAAGATACCCATCTATTGCACATGTGCCTTAATTATCTACCTGTCTTTTTTGTATACACCCTTAATATATAATACAGTACTTCTTTACTGATAGATGTGATGGAGGAGGATATAGTTATTTCATCTCTGACATGTTATCATTACCACCACCAGTCATACCAACACTGCCGTAATAGCGCTCTTATGATTACAAAGAAAGTAACAGGGATGCTAAAAAGATAAAGAGGAAGATATTTAGTGAATTAGGAGTATTAAAAGTGTGGGGATGTTGGCACTCCACACTTGTTGAGTTGCCGGGATGTTGTACGTCCAACTGGCACAGACTCCCACTTGGACACACCAACCTTAAACACGTGAAAGTTTTAATAATAACACAAAGCAGAAAATAAAAATAGAGAAACTCTGCCGTAAGTCTACTGACCCATTCTCGGGAGACCTGCCTCGCATGGGCCAGTAGGCCTTCTACAGTGTTCCTCCATTCTTATGTTCTTATGACATTCCTCAGGTCACGTGCGTCACATCTCACTCTCCGCCTATATATATAATGTCTTTCTACCTCTGTATGTTAGAAGTGATCAAGGTCCCAGGACCGAAACGTTTTCTAATAAATATGTTATAGTGTTTGCTTACGTGTCTTTCTAAACCAACTTGTCGGTATTTATTACCAAGGTTTATACCAGTGAACAATGTACACGAACGGAACACAGTACCGACAAGATGAAGAATTAGACACGTGCAACATCTGGGTATCTTTATTGTAGACGTTTCGTCATCCAGTGGCTTTATCAATACAAATTCAAGGACATAATTGGAAGACAGAGCTATATACAGAAGATGAGGTAATCAGTCCCCCAGTCTTGGAGTTGGTGTGAAGAACACCGTAGTCGTGAAGATTTTGAAGCACAGGCAAGAAGGCTGGAGCTCCAAAATCTTCACGACTACGGTGCTCTTCACATCAACTCCAAGATTGAGAGACTGACTACCTCATCTTCTGTATATAGTTCTTCTGTCTTCCAAATATGTCCTGGAATTTATATTGATAAAGCCACTGGATGGCGAAACTTCTACAATAAAGATACCCAGATGTTGCACATGTGTCTAATTTTTCATAGTGAAAGATAATGATTCAGCCAAGACAGAACTCGCGGTACCGGGGCTGCACAGGTTCCAGTTTAAAACCATAAGAAAGGAGGAGCACTGCGGCAGGCCTACTGTCCCCTGCTTGGCAAGTCCAACCTACACCCATGCTCATGTTCATGTAGGTTTGCCACGACGGGTTCTGGCATGAGTCTTCTCCATGTGGTGACCCGGCAGTGGCTCTCGAGAGAGTGTCAGAGTTGGTATACGTGATGTACTGATTTACAGCCCTATTAGGAACATAAGAACGAGCGAAGGAGCACTGCAGCAAACGTACTGGCCATGTGAGACAGGTCCAAGTCACCTACCAGCCTAAGCCACTGGTCCAAGCCAGTCGGGTCCAACTCACACCCAGCCATATGGCGGGGGCACAGCGAGCATTCACGTTAAACAGAGTACCGTTTACAGCTCTATGGCGGGCAGCCCTATGATAAAGGCACGGTGAGCCGTCTGTGCGTTAAGCAGAGTACCGTTTACAGCTCTATGACAAGGGTACGGTGACTCTCTCAACTCCTAATGAACCATTCAAATCAGATAAGAACCAAAAAGTCTACAAATAAAGACACCCAGACCTGGCAACACCCTCCAGATACAGATGTTGCACGTGTCTAATTCTGCATATTGCCGGTATTGTACACCATTTTTAACGAACCTAGAACAAAGTACTCATTATTATTATATTATTATTATTATTACTATTATTACTACTTGTGCCAATAGGCTTGATGCCGTGCTCCTTCCTTAAGTGGATGTGACTTGGACCTGCCTCGCATGGGCCAGTAGGCCTGCTGCAGTGTTCCTTCTTATGTTCTTATGTTATACAATAGCGACAGGTTAATAAGTAACGTTCCGCCTACACAGCAGGCTTCTTCAGGCGAATAGAGAAGAGAAGCCTACTGTGTAGCCGAAAAGTTTCGGAATAAAGATACCTAATTGTTGCACAAGTGTCTTACCAACTATAATTATTATTACAGGTGTTGTCAGTGGCATGATAATACCCACAATGGCAATATAAACACAAATGCAGTATAATGTGATCCTTTATTGACTACATTCGCCCACACAGTTAGTCTGTTTGTGACTTGAAACCATTGCGAAACGTAGTCAATAAGGATCACATTATACCTGCATTTGTGTTATAATTGCCATTGTGTCGGTACTTTTATATTCCATTATTTCCATAATACCCACAAGTTTGGGGAAACCCACACCACACAACCCTGTCTGTACTGACCTACTCTTGGAGTCACGCTCACAACAGTTATCTGATTGATTATTGATCACACTGCCGACGATGTGTCAGGTCAAGGGATACACAGTAATGAGACGTGTGTCATTTTGCCTAGCATTAGTCACAACTTGTACACAGTACTCTAGTAGTCACAACTTGTACACAGTACTCTAGTAGTCACAACTTGTACACAGTACTCTAGTAGTCACAACTTGTACACAGTACTCTAGTAGTCACAACTTGTACACAGTACTCTAGTAGTCACAACTTGTACACAGTACTCTAGTAGTCACAACTTGTACACAGTACTCTAGTAGTCACAACTTGTACACAGTACTCTAGTACTGCACACAGTAAGTAAAGTAAGAGGACAGAAGTGCAACTAATGTAACATTTTATTGTGGCAACGTTTCGCTCTCCAGGAGCTTCATTTAATAGCAGTCACAACTTGTATTAAATACAAAAATATCCTCAATACTCACTCTTCCAGCCGATGAGAGACAAACGCGTCCGTTTTTATATCAAAATATATTGGTATATTACAGAGGTTTCCCAGGAAGTCTCAACGTCCAGTCGGCAAGTGTTCCCACTAGCGTTTTATCTTCTAGAGCGACAAACTATTAACTAAAACTCCACACTTGTTTCACCCGACGCGTGACTATGATGTCACCTAGACGCTGAAGATTTAAATGTCACGTGGAAATGTATTTTAAGAACGTGGGTTGTAGAGTGAGATAGAGACGTGGTGGTGGTATGATCCTGGTGGTGGTGATCCTAGAAGTGATGGTGGTGACGACCCCAGAGGTGTTGGATGGTGATGCTGGTGTTCCGACACACGAAACCGTAATAAGACGGTTGTTGGTGTTGTCGGTGAGGATCCTGGCAGTGCTGGTGACTGTACCCAGACTAAGCCACGAGTGACGAGTGTTTAACTCTGGGAATGCCCAGTGTCGAGATACGCCTACCTGAACTCTAACGTCAGTAATGACGTAGCGTGAGTACCACTACCCCGCATCACTCTACCTCCTCCCCTCTCTGTTACCTTCCTATCTCTATTATTGAAAATGGCGTACTCAGCGTCATACGTTTGTCTCCAGATAAGCCGGTAGCTTCGCAGCTATGTGATAAATATCTGATGATAGTCAGCAGCAGCCTTGGGGAGGAGAGGTGCAGTAGCAGCCTTGGGGAGTGCAGTAGCAGACTTGGGGAGGAGTGCAGCAGCAGCCTTGGGGAGAAGAGGTGCAGTAGCAGCCTTGGGGAGGAGTGCAGTAGCAGCCTTGGGGAGGAGAGGTGCAGTAGCAGTCTTGGGGAGGAGAGGTGCAGTAGCAGCCTTGGGGAGGAGAGGTGCAGTAGCAGCCTTGGGGAGGAGTGCAGTAGCAGCCTTGGGTAGGAGTGCAGTAGCACCTTGGGGGGAGTGCAGAAGCACCCTTTGGGGGGGAAAGGTGCAGTAGCAGCCTTGGGGGAGTGCAGTAGCACCTTGGGGAAGAGTGCAGTAGCCCCCTTTGGGGGAAGAGTGCAGTAGCAGACTTGGGGAGGAGAGGTGCAGTAGCAGCCTTGGGGAGGAGTGCAGTAGCAGCCTTGGGGAGGAGTGCAGTAGCAGCCTTGGGGAGGAGTGCAGTAGCAGCCTTGGGGAGGAGGTGCAGTAGCAGCCTTGGGGAGGAGGAGTGCAGTAACATCCTTGGAAGGGAGTGAGGAGGGAGGGGAAGGATGTTAGTCACAGCCTCGTGTGACTGTACACAAATATTTGTATAGTAAAGTGTCACGGTACTGTGTATTTTTGTTCTCTCTTGTGACTAGTTAAGGTCCAAGTCAGACCCTAACGTCATAAATTTGTTTCTCCTATGTGAGGGTCAGAAGGTAAGAAGTGAAGGTGTAGGTGAGTGTGAGTTGGACCTGGCTGGCTTGGGCCAGTAGGCCTGATGCAGTGCTCCTTCCTTACGTGGATGTGACTTGGATCTGACTGGTCTGGACCAGTAAGTGACTGTTGCTGAAACATCTACAATAAAAACATCCAGATGTTGCACATGTATCTAATTTTCATCCTGTTGGTATTGTATACCATTCACGTCCAGACTGTTGCTGCTGGCGACTCTGTCGTCCACATATCTGTCAGTTGAGTGCCTCCACACGAGGCACTCAATAAAAGGCCACTCTTCTGTACTCGACTGAAGAAACCTACTGTGTAGGTGAAACGTTTCGGAATAAAGTTACCAAACTGTTGCACATGTGTCTTACTTAACAACCTGTCGGTATTGTATACCATTTTCATATTCACTCAAGAATACACAAAAGGAACTCACACACACACACACACACACACACACACACACACACACACACACACACACACACACACACACACACACATGCATCAGTGATACCTATACTAGCCAAACATGTGGCTAAGATGATTGTGACAAAGAATGTCTCAGCCAGAGCCAAGACGGATCGTGGCACACAAAATCCAGTCTTGCAAGGCTTCAGCACATTAAGAATGATTTACAATGATAGAAACTAGAAAGTTAATGTACTCACCTGTTGGGCCGACACTATCCTTCACTCATTTATGCTGTTGTCGAGCTCTGGAAGATAAACAAACATGTCAGCTGGAACTCACAATTATCAGATATAAGTATTACTCACATATATAATAGTGTAATTATGATAAATTAGACACGTGTGCAACTCTTGGGTATCTTTATTGAGGAAACGTTTCGCCACACAGTGGCTTCATCAGTCCAAACGTAGGAGAAGCTTGAAGAACAGGAGGAGAATGAGGTAATCAGTCCCTCAACCTTGAGTCGATGTGTTCAGTCCATCAATCTTGAATAGAATACGGCATATCAGCGGAGAAGCAGCTTATAAACCGTTCATCTACAAATCTGTCAGACAATGCAACTTCTTGGGATCTTAATACTTAGGAATTCTTCGCTTGCCTAATTCTTGGGCACGACCTACTTCCACATTGAACAAATGTGACACCACCTATGACTGCTGCACCTCTCCTGCCATACGGTTTATAAGCTGCTTCTCCGCTGATATGCCGTATTCTATTCAAGATTGATGGACTGAACACATCGACTCAAGGTTGAGGGACTGATTACCTCATTCTCCTCCTGTTCTTCAAGTTTCTCCTACGTTTGGACTGATGAAGCCACTGTGTGGCGAAACGTTTCCTCAATAAAGATACCCAAGAGTTGCACACGTGTCTAATTTATCAACATGTCGGTTCTCTGAACCATTCATCTAGTGTAATTATGTTGGTAGAATTACCGACAATATGTAAAGTAAAAGGACATAAATGTAACTAATGTGACATTTTATTGTGGCAACGTTTCGCTCTCCAGTAGCTTTATCAAGCCGTTACAAACAGTACATGGACACAGAGGGTATATATAGGATCAGAGTGAGGTGCAATACTAGTGGTAGTAGTAATAATAGTAGTGATATAAGTATTAGTAGTAGTAGTAGTAGTAATACAATATGGTAGAACAATTACCTTGCACATGGGCCAGTAGGCCTGCTGCAATGTTCCTCTCTTCTTATGTTGTGACATTCTTGTCTATATTTATCAGTCTTGTTGTTTACTGTGCAAGTTAATTGTTCTACCATATTGTATTACTGCTACTACTACTACTTATATCACTACAATTACTACTACCAACACTAGTACTGCACCTCACTCTGAGCCTATATATACCCTCTGCGTCCATGTATTGTTTGTAAAAGCTTGACAAAGCTCCTGGAGAGCGAAACGTTGCCACAATAAAAATGTCACATTAGTTGCACTTGTGTCCTTTTACTTTACACACATATAATAACAGTAAACAAGACTGATAAATATAAGAAAAAATGTGAGAACATAATAAGAGAGGAACACTGCAGCAGGCCTACTGGCCCATACAAGGGTCCTTATCAACACCAACCAAGTATTTTGTCTAACCTTTTAACAAAGTCGCGCTAGAATCTGCTTCCGCACCCCTGGCACCAATCAAACCCAGCCCCTCCCACTCATACATTTGTTCAATCTCTCCCCAAAGAGTGATCAGTTGGGGAAGTGAAAAGAAGTGAAGGGAGGAAGAGAGAAGTGGAGGGAGGTGGAAGGTATCCAGTAGCAGGAGCATGACAAGGGAAGAAACAGTGGTGGAGAGGAGGGAGGATGGCAGAGGAGACAAGTATCTATATTTATGTTGGCAGAGGATGGCGTGTAAGCCCTACCTAGCCCTCTCCACCCAGCCCACACCCCATTCCTACTCACAACCCCCCTTCTCACACACACAAAACTGTATACACCCAGGTGTCTCTGTCTCTCTCTCTCACTGACTATACACTGAGACTAACTTTAATCTCAATTTTAGAGATTAAAATATTCTTGATTACTGGTGAGCAGATTAAATATCTAGCAACAACTATGGAGTTTGTTAGGTAAGACACATATGCAACAGTTAGGTATCTTTATTTCGAAACGTTTCGCCTACACAGTAGGTTTCTTCTGTACTCGACTGAAGAAGCCTACTGTGTAGGCGAAACGTTTCGAAATAAAGATACCTAACTGTTGCATATGTGTCTTACCTAACAATCTGTCGGTATTTTATACCATTTTAATGTTCAACTATGGAGTTTACCAGGAGGGAATTCCGGGGATCAACGCCCCCGCGGCCCGGTCCACGACCAGGCCTCCCGGTGGAGCAGGGCCTGATCAACCAGGTTGTTACTGAACATCAAAATGGTATACAATACCAGGCCGAGGGACTTACAACCTCAAATTCTACGACTACAAGGGTGATGGACTGATTACATCGTCTTCACATCTCTACTGTTCCTGCCTATTTTCTGTATTCGACTGAAGAAGCCTACTGTGTAGGCGAAACGTTTCGGAATAAAGTTGTCTAACTGTTGCATATGTGTCTAACCAGGTTGTTACTGCTGGCCGCACGTAGTCCAACGTACGAACCACAGCCCGGCTGATCCGGCACCAACTTTAAGTATCTGTCCAGCTCCCTCTTGAAGGCAGCCAGTGGCCTACTGGTAATTCCTCTTATGCATGGTGCGAAGCTGTTGAACAGCCATTTAGCCGAAAGGCCTTAAATCCAATTAATCATTAACACACATCCTGTTATTTTCGCTCACTCTCTCTCTCACACACACACACACACACACACACACACACACACACACACACATAGAGCCAGAAACGAATATGCACAGATAAGAAGGGAGGAAAAAGACACTTATGTACAGTTCAGGACATTTATTAAAGGAAACGTTTCGCCACGAGTGGCTTCTTCAGTCCTAATACAGAGAAAACTAAGAAAACACATACATATATAGTGGCGGGAGTCAGGTGAGGTGATGCGTGGGTAGAGGTGGTAGTAGTAGTAGTAGTAATGGAACTAAGGAGGTGAGGCAAGAGAGGGACCTGCTGGCATCAAGTAACACCAGTTCCCAGGATGGGTAATATCCTCTTGCTTAGTAATTTTTAAATACTGTAACTACCGGATTTTTGCTTTATAGTGTTACTGACAGAAATTAGTGCAGCTTCAATGCATTTTCTCCGTCTTAAGTCGTCTTCTTTAATAACTAGTTTAGCTTCATTGAATTTCATGAGGTGTCCAACATCGTCTCTATGTTGAACACATGCGTTTTTGCGGTCATCATTTCTGCAAGCATTTTTGTGTTCTGCTATCTAATGTCCAGAGTTCTGGCTGTTTCCCCTACATATACTTTGTCACACACCCCACATGGTATAGTGTAGATTCCTGCACTTGTGCCAGAATCATGCTTGGCTTTTTGTATCAGGTTCCTAATAGTAGTTGAAGAGCTGGTAGATATTTTAGCCAGTTTTCTGTCAAACATTTTTGAAACATTAGTGGCAACGTTGCTGACCGGTAAAACGATGTAACTTGGAGGCTTTTCTTCAATTTGATAGGTGTTGGTCTTGCTGAGGATACGTGTTGCACGTTTCCTGCAGTCACGTATGAAGTGTAGGGGAAAGTGTGACTGCAGGAAACGTGCAACACGTATCCTCAGCAAGACCAACACCTATCAAATTGAAGAAAAGCCTCCAAGTTACATCGTTTTACCGGTCAGCAACGTTGCCACTAATGTTTCAAAAATGTTTGACAGAAAACTGGCTAAAATATCTACCAGCTCTTCAACTACTATTAGGAACCTGATACAAAAAGCCAAGCATGATTCTGGCACAAGTGCAGGAATCTACACTATACCATGTGGGGGGTGTGACAAAGTATATGTAGGGGAAACAGCCAGAACTCTGGACATTAGAATAGCAGAACACAAAAATGCTTGCAGAAATGATGACCGCAAAAACGCATGTGTTCAACATAGAGACGATGTTGGACACCTCATGAAATTCAATGAAGCTAAACTAGTTATTAAAGAAGACGACTTAAGACGGAGAAAATGCATTGAAGCTGCACTAATTTCTGTCAGTAACACTATAAAGCAAAAATCCGGTAGTTACAGTATTTCAAAATTACTAAGCAAGAGGATATTACCCATCCTGGGAACTGGTGTTACTTGATACCAGCAGGTCCCTCTCTAGCCTCACCTCCTTAGTTCCATTACTACTACTACTACCACCTCTACCCACGCATCACCTCACCTGACTCCCGCCACTATATATGTATGTTTTCTTAGTTTTCTCTGTATTAGGACTGAAGAAGCCACTCGTGGCGAAACGTTTCCTTTAATTAATGTCCTGAATTGTACATAAGTGTCTTTTTCCACATCTTGTCGGTATCACCATACCATTTCCTCATAAGAAGGGAGGCCCAAAGACAATATGAAAATGACATAGCAGCGAAAGCCAAATCTGACCCGAAACTGTTGTACAGCCACATCAGGAGGAAAACAACAGTCAAGGACCAGGTAATCAGGCAAAGGAAGGAAGGAGGAGAGACAACAAGAAATGACCGTGAAGTATGTGAGGAACTCAACAAGAGATTCAAAGAAGTGTTCACAGAGGAGACAGAAGGGACTCCAGAAAGACGGAGAGTTGGGGCACACCACCAAGTGCTAGACACAGTGCACACAACCGAGGAAGAAGTGAAGAGGCTTCTGAGTGAGCTAGATACCTCAAAGGCAATGAGACCAGATAACATCTCCCCATGGGTATTGAGAGAGGGAGCAGAGGCGCTATGTGTACCCCTAACAACAATATTCAATACATCTATCGAAACAGGGAGATTGCCTGAGGCATGGAAGACAGCAAATGCAGTCCCAATCTTTAAAAAAGGAGACAGACATGAAGCATTAAACTACAGACCAGTGTCACTGACATGTATAGTATGCAAAATCACGGAGAAGATTATCAGGAGAAGAGTGGTGGAACACCTAGAAAGGAATGATCTCATCAACAGCAGCCAACATGGGTTTCAGGACGGGAAATCCTGTGTCACAAACCTACTGGAGTTCTATGACATGGTGACAGCAGTAAGACAAGAGAGGGGTGGGTGGATTGCATATTCTTGGACTGCAAGAAGGCGTTTGACACAGTTCCACACAAGAGATTGGTGCAAAAACTGGAGGACCAAGCAGGGATAACAGGGAAGGCACTACA